CAGGGTCTGTGCAATTTTAACAAGATATCTCTCTCTCCCACACATACATACACATATACATACACATACAAGGTTATATTGTTATATTATATTATATATTATATATCATATATCATTCATATATAAACATGTAATGCATTTTATTTAGAGAAGAGGTATTCAAATTAATGTCACAAGATCGAAACATGTCATTAAATCTAAGCAAAACACATTTCCTGGAAATAATTTTGACTCAAATTCAAAGCATGAAAGTATTCACAGTAAGAGTTGTAATAAGAAAGGCAAAGAGGAAAGTCTTAAAAAAATATTGGGAACATTAGGAGAGTGATGATCCTAGCCTAATAAAGGCATTGATAAATAGATCCATATCACTCAGCTGGGCAGGATATGATCACAAAGTCATACAGATGGAAGTGACACACTATGACACAATTAAAATTATTCATATAATGAACTAATTCAGCAAGGAGTATAACATATTGAAATACTCTTGAATTGGTAAGCGCTATCAGAGATGTGGACAAGAATATTAGAATGAAATCTTACCATTTGCAAAATTGTGGATGGAACTAGTGTTTTATGCTAAGTGAAATAAGTCAGAAAAAGACAAATATGTGATTTCACTCATATGTGGAATTTAAGAAACAAAACATATGAATATAGGGGAAGTTAAAAGTAAAATAAGATAAAAACAGAGGAGTGGCAAACCATAAGAGACTGTTGAATACAGAGAACAGAGGGAGGGTTGCAGGAGGGGAGGTACGGGGATGGGCTAAATGGGTGATGGACATTAACAAGGGCACTTGTTGGGATGAGCACTGGATGTTACATGTAAGTGATGAATCACGCAATTCGATTCCTGAAACCAGTACTACACTGTATGCTAACTAACTTGAATTTAAATAAACAACAACAAAACACTAAAAGGCTTTGCTTCATGTCTTTCACTAAATAAATGAGGTTACACTGACTTGTTCAATCTCTAACTAGTTAGTGGTAGACCCCTGATAAAAGAGCCTCTAGTCTAGTACTGCTTTTATAATGCCAGGCAAATCCCAGGAAAAGCCCCATCCTCTGTTCACCTTTCCATTTGTGGCCATGGGCCAATTGGTGGTTAAAGTTTCTAGGCATTACTAATAGCTCCCCAGGCCATAACAGCCACACCCAACAACAGTGAGTCAGGAAGGAACCAAGACTTAAGACAGGCAGTACAGAACACCTCAGGTACTACTCTGCCCTAATTCTCACTAGACTCTTGCTTACGTGTCTTCCTGAGTCCCTATTTCACAAGAGTAAGATTCACACGTCACAGAAGAAGCTAGCCTAGAATAAGAAAACAGATGCAAACAGCATTCTGGTTAAGCATTCACATATCAGGAATTATAACTTTATGAATATCCACCACTGGGTTGGCTGGAAGAAAAATGACTTTAATGAAAGATAGCTTTTTAAAGTAATTAGAGAGGATGCTTTCATAAGAGGTGTTCACAGTAATTAGGAATACACACATATATCATCTTGGGAACACCTCTTGAGAGACAAGTAATTACCTGGGAAAAGTCTTGCTAGACGCTATCAGACTTTATAAAGTCGACCCAAATGTAATTATGGCAAGCGCACAGGGAAAACTAAGAAGGAGTTAGAGAAAAGAGCCAGTAAATGAAAATATGGCCCCCTTAGGGCACAAGTAAGAAGTTACCTATAACTAGATTTTCCCAGAGGAAGATTCTCTAATAAGAAAATAAGCAAAGAAAAAAACAAACAAAAGGAAAAAAAACAAGAAAACAAAACAAAAAAACCTCTTTACAACTTCTAAGTGACAACTGGCAAAAATAAAATGAATAAAAACAAATCTATGGATTTTTAAAATAGTATAAAGAGTATATTCTGCTTATCAAAGTAGAATGATTCAGAGTCTGTGTTACTTTAGATAGAAACAAGAACACATAAATTAGTGAAGTTTAAAAACAAGATACTTCCAGTAAAGATGGATATGATATGGTATCATTTTTATTTCCATTCTCAGGGGACTAGAAAGTTAATTTGGTGGTCACACTTCTAATACTTGGACCTCTAAGAAAAATGCTTTTGGATTCTTTCCATTATTTTAAGATTGTCCCATAATATGACCTTTATTTTCATAATACCTTATGTCAACTGCAAACAGAACACTGAAAATGGACTGAAATTCTTCTCTGAGATCACTTCGTCGGTTCTGCTTTGCTGGTTCCTAACCCTACTTGTTTGGCCTCATATCTCAACAGTTGTATAATGTTGACTACCTAAAGAATCTGCCTGAGAAATGTGAAGGCAAGAAAATTTGTTCTATTCATCAAAATATACATTACTCAAACATTTAATGAAAAAAAAAAATCCTCTTCATAATGCCATGACAATTCATTGAGAGTTATCGAATAAAGAGAATATATCTTCTGAAAACAGTTTGAAAACACGAAGTTGATCCTGAAATCTAAAGAGCTCCCATTCATTCTGAAATTACAAGAAACTAACTTATATCTGCTGAGTAAATGATAGCCATAAAAGCCATAAAAACCACGATTAATCTACAAAGCAATGTGTTCTAATAAGCTTTCACTTTAAAATAATATTTGTTCTTATTTAACAATTTTTTCACAAGACCTTGTCTGGTATGGGCTAAACAGTGTAACATTTTGTAAAAATGGGGTCAATAACTCTTTTCTGAAGTACTTCAAAAATCCTTAAATAGACATTGTGGCACATGAAGATATTTCCAAAAGACTGGAGAAATATACATTACATACATACATAGACCACTTGACCTCGATATTTAATGCATCTGAGTTGAAATTAAAATGTTCTCCAATGCTTGTGGAAAACAAAATAACACAAAACAAAACTCTAAGTTATCTGGTATGATTTATATTCAATTGCTATATACTCAATTTACAAGGTTTAAATAATTCTCTTTGAATTTAGCTTGGATATGTATACACAAAATCAAATACAGGCACAATTCTTTCTTATATCATGACATTTTGACTTTGTGGAAGAGAAGCAGAACATTAGATCACTGTTTTACAGTATGGACTTCAAGATCCTCATCTTGCCATTGCAAGTGGGAATTCCCAGCAGACAATGAGCAAGCAGAGGATATTACTTTTAGAGGCTCACTAAATAAATAGCTGTCACATTAGAAAGAAAAATACAACAGTCATGACTACGTTCAGTTTCCAATGAATGCTAAGCAAAAAACTCATGCTATCTCCTGACTCATTTTGCATCAGAGAAATGCAATGCTCCAAAGGAAACCAGCTGTGGTGTAGGCTGATGAATTCATAACTACTAAGTTTACCGTAATAATATTAATCTTCACTGATGTATCAATTTTCAATTATTATTATAGTTCAAAAATACACTGTCTCCCTAAACAGAAATTAGCAAATGCTATAGTACAAGATATTTGTTATTTTACCTTTATAAGGATTCATCTATATTCTTGACTTTCCTTCTGCTGTTTTACAAAACACAATTGTATAATGTGTCCACAGAGCATAGGATAGTACAGTTTTAAAAATACTCACCCATAGTAAATTGAACTCACAGTCCAATTCATTCAATAAATTTGGACCCCTACCACATACCTGATTTTGTAGCTAATTTTTAGCAAATGGGATAGATTAGTACTTTCTTTAATGTAATACTGCTAAGTTCATGGCTAAAAGTCAGATTGTTTGAATTCAAAAGGTTTGGGGGTGAAAAAAAATCTCCTTACTTTGCAAAGCCTACATTTGACATTAGCCTCAGAACATCATGTCTCCCTGACATGATTGCGAGGCTTTTAGTTGCCTGTCTTGCAAACTACAATGTCATTGTGGATTTCAAGGGTCTTCTATATCTGTACTTCATAAAAGCAAGCTTTTGAAGCATTTCTGGGTCTTGTTGACATGAAATAAAGCCATGCCATGTATGTGTGGATCCTCGGGTTCCTTTTAGGTCACATTTCTATGTTACGTGGTATCAGTAAATAAGAAATAGACACATTATAGCAAAAAATATTAATTCTTTATCCATTCATTTCAAAACTCTAGGCTGAGTTAAACGAACAGCTTAGGAAATTTTGTTATAATCTCAAAATTTTCTCTGATTGTACTGAGTACCTAGAAAATACTCAGTAACTTTTATTTGATTGATTAAAAGAGAATGTCTACAGTTTAATTCAAGCTCTGAAATAGAATTTCTGAGATTTATAAGCCAATATAAATATTTAATAAAGAGCACAGAGGCCCTAAAATGCGAAGCACCTCAGGATCTAACTTCAGAATTTTACATTATCATGTCTGACTTCATACTGTTTCCACAAAAGTGAGGTAATAAATAAGTACATCTATGGTTTATTTAAGAGTATAAACTATATCTACAGCAAGAATTGGGCTCAGTCCTTTTGAGTACAAAACAAATTTCAACTGATTTACGAAAAACACATTAAGGAAAATCGAAGTGCCTTGAACTCAATGTGTCCCATCCCATTCCCAGTCCACGCGGGCAGAAGAAGGTGGATGTACAGTATGAAGAGAAGGAAATCTGCACCTAGAACAGGATCCTAACACCACTGTGTTAAATATACACAAGATATGGGAAGTACAATCCTCCCATGTATTTGTATTCACAGGTATATTTCCTGAGAATCACAGGCATGGTCCAGACGTATAGAGATTCCTTTAACATACATATTTGTTATACTACTTTGATGCTTTTCCACGTTTCATATTTTTCATTTAGAGTGGAATGAGTAAGTCACAGGGATGAAAGGTACAACATAGGAAAGCAGTCAATGGTATTTTAATAGTGTTGTATGGTGACAGATGGTAACTGCACTAGTGGTGATCACCACATAAGGTATAGACTTGGTGAATCACTATGTTGCACACCTGAAACAATGTAACATTGTAAGTCAACTATACTTCAATTTAAAAAAGTTTCACCGAAAAACAATTTCATTTAGAAACAGAAAAGATTACCTTTCTTGCTTCTTTTATCATCTTCCGAATAGTTTCCTTAATTGTAAGTAAGTGTGCTCTTGGTGGATGAAAGAGGAGGTCTATATGGGTACCGCCTAAGAGTCCGGGCATCACATACGGCCAGCCTAAGTCAAGATTTGGAGCTTCCACGTCAGACTCAATGGGCCAGTAAGTCCCTGAAGATGAGGTATCATCATAGGAGTTATCAGTACCATATGCTGTACTTTGTGCAACTTTCTGGACATTTTTCAAAATGTAATTAATTTCTTCTTCAGCTAGAAAGTCTGACACTCGTTCCTTGGCAAGAAATTCTTGGTATGCTTCTAACCCATGTTCGATCAGTGCATCAATGGCTACTCGATACCATTCCTTGTAGTGAGGCTCAATGTAATTGTCTGATTTACACTCATCATTCAGTGAGGACAACATTGACGAGGTTTCCATGCTCGCGAGCGTTTGACAACCAGCACCTTCAAACACTTTCAAATGTCCATTTGTGCAGTAACGAGAGGTATGTGGGTGCTTAAAAAGAAAGAAATGAAGATCAGTTAGAATTCTGTAATGAAATGTTTTATGACCCACATCAATCATTATTTTTACATTTACTCATTTCCACTACCAGTAGCTCAATAGGACATACATTGTCACGACCAAAGTGGCATTAATTGCACCATAATTCACAGATGTATTACAAATGAGCTAAACAGATTTCCATTTATTTATTTATTTATTTATTAACATTTATTCATTTTTGAGAGTGAGAGAGACAGAGTGTGAGTGGGGGAGAAGCAGAGAAGAGTGGAAGGCACAGAATCAGAAGCAGGCTCCAGGCTCTGAGCTGTCAGCATAGAGCCCCACGCAGGGCTCGAACCCATGAACTGCAAGATCATGAACTGATCTGAAGTTGGATGCTTAACCAACTGGGCCACCCAGGCACCCCCAGATTTCCTTTTATAGGCCACTAGTTGATTACTCTTTTCCAAGGTACCTTTACTTTCAATTTCTCACCTAAGGAAATACACCTTCTTTTCAATGACATCCAGAAAGATCACCCTTCTTAACTTTAATCTGGGACTACATATGGTCGTTTGTTTCTAAAAGTTTTCTTATTTTGGTTTTACAATTTTTTTTAATAGAATACAATCAGTACCTGTCCATCCATTAATAGAAGCTTTTACTAAGTACCTGTTATGCATATAATCCCATACTAAAAATATAAAAAGCATGAAACACTTGCCTTCCAGAAATGTATGAGTTAGCTGAAGAGGCAAAATGAAACATACACACAAATCTATTATCACTTTGAACAAAGCCATATATTGTTAAGGACCAAAATGAGTACTGCTTGTAGTCAATGCTTTCACATAAAAACAAGTAGATATCAATGTGGAATAAACAAGCCATGGATAGCCCTGTGCAGGATGCAGGCTTCAGGTGAACCTGGGGTGATGAGTAAGAATATGATCAGGCAGCAAGAAGGAGCATTTTAATCCCACACAAGAGTGAAAAACGTAACAAAAGCACAGAACAGGCATGAGCTTGGTATATTCATGAGCTAGTTAAAAAAAAAAAAAAAAAAAAAAAAGTTGGTCTGCTGGAAAAGTATGCTCCTTTCACTAGGAGATAAATTTGAATAGACACGATGCAGCCAGGTGGAGGGACACAGATTTCTGCGATTCAATAAAACCAGTGTTTAAAACAGTTAGTCTGGCAGTATTAGGGACTTGAGGAGAGACAACTAGCTAGGTCTTTCAGTGTTCAAACACCCAGTGAAGAAGTGACAATATTTCTGAGCTGATTCAAAGTAAGAACTCCTGAGATTACATGCTTTAACAGCATTTAGGTGATAAAGAAATTTAAGATATCAAAGATAATTCAGGGATTTCTCTTAGGAATCCAAATCTGCCTAACCAAGCTCATACCCCAGCCCTCTCAATGCTCACAAACTGTCATTCATTCACTGCATAAGATACCTAACTAGACTTTATCTCAAATAAGGGCCTTTCCAATCTTTTGAAGCCATGCTCTCCATTGTGCAGATTCAAACAAAATAAAGTTCTATGATGTGCTACAAGCACTAAAGGGCTAATTTGACCAAAAACATCTTTGTTAAGGGCCCTGTCTTAATTTAAAATTCTCCACTTAACCCAGCCTTTTCAGACTCAGGACTACCGAAACTCAAATCTGATTTGGGAGGATAACCCATAAAGCCATAACCATTTATTAACTCCTTAGCTCAAAAGACATAACAAGTCACTAATCAGAGAGACAGTTGTGAAGGAATGGAAAATAGTGCCACAAGTTTTGCTTAAAGGGTGGAGGGATCAGAAAATAATCAACACAAAGGCAGAACTAAAGAAGAAAGAAGATTATAGGGTCCACTTGGCTCTTTTAGTGGAGACAATCCTGTCCCCTAGGCTCAAAATTTTTACCAACAAAGCCTAAAAGGATAGAAAACCTAAAGGTTAAATCTGATACAAGAAAAAAAAAAAAAAAAGAACATGTTTACGCTACTGGCATGTGGTACATAGAGGCCAGGGATAATGTTAAACATACTTCTTGGATACACAGGACGGCCACCTGCATTAAAAGATTATGTGGCCCAAAATGTCAATGGTGCCAAGGTTGAGAAATCTTCATCAAGCTGCTCGCTTAATGTGCCTGGTATCACACTACGAATTTATGACCTTTCTGATGTTCATTAAGGTTCTTTCCTGTACATACTAGGCTCATTTTTAACAAAAAAATAGGCTTTTATTTTCTTCATAGAATCAATCCATTTGATTAAAGTGTATTTCCCTAAGGTTTAGTGAGTTGTGGTTTTCATTTGACAATTCCAGTCCATGAAGGGACAGGCATCCAGTGATCACATGAAAATTACATCTATTATTTGTAATTGTTTAAGATAGTAGTTAACTACTGGTTTGTAACAATTTTAAATTTCCTTAGCACTTATTTCCTAAAGTTTTTAATTTAACTTTTGAATTCCTGTAATGTGATGGTAAACACTATAATTATCTACTTGGAAGTTAAAATGAATAACAATGCTTGAAAACACTGTATTGATTTCTGAGCTTTACCTACGTAAATATATACTCTGCAACTACAAAAAATTCATTCTTCAGCTATGGGTAAACTGAGAAATCATAGAGATCAAAAGGACCATGAAAGCAAAATAAAACCATAAAGACACAGATGAAAAGTTAATTATGAGGGGAAAAAAAAACAAATGAAGATTTAAAAAAAAAAAGGAAAACATTGTGGGACTAATTAAATAGGAATGCCAGATACAATGCAGAAAAAGACATCATAGAAAAAATGCAACAGCTAAGAGCACTGAAATTGAGTTATTATGTAAAAGAATTAAGATAAAAAAAAAATATGCTTGGGGCACCTGGGTGGCTCAGTCAGTTAAGCCTCTGACTCTTAAATTTCAGCTCAGCTCATAACCTCACAGTTTGTGAGATCGAGCCTCATGTCTGGCTCTGTGCTGACAACGTGGAGCCTGCTTAGGATTCTCTCTCCCTCTCTCTCTTTCTGCCCCTTTCCCGCTTGCACATGGGCACACTTTCTCTTCTCTCTCAAAATAAATAAACATGAAAAAAATTTTTAAATAAAATAAAAATATGCTTGATGTTGTCTTGCTAGAGAAGCTATGCTTTCTAACCACTGTCTAGAGATACACAATAATCACAAAAGCTGTATACAAGGGATAATTGTGAGGAACCATTTATAAACAAATTTTAAGGGAAGATAGTAAGGTAATGGCACTTGCATAAATGGGTACTGCAATAAAATAGCACTTGTATTTAGTTGTAGACTTAATACGGCACTCTCAGGAGTTTAATCACTGAACATTTTAAGAGTTTAATTTGAGGACAAAATTAATTGGGTATGTCTTTAAACATGCAAAGGTGTATTATTTTATTAATAACCATTAAAACTCCTAGAAACTATATAAACATATGTAATAGAGTTAATGAGTAGAGAAAAATAAAATTTCACCATGATATAAAAGCTAAACGGATCAGTAAGCTCACATGCTAGTTAAGTGACTCATTCCAAAAAAAACAAGCTTATAAAATATGGGATTCAAAACCATGCCTCAAAAGCATTACAAATTCATTTGATACTGAATCTTTGGTATCATTCATGGAAAGTATAAATTCCAAATGTTAAATCTGTAAATACAAAGGACATAAAACAAGATAGTGAACACTAGACTTCAATTCATGGGCTACTCTGGAAAACATTTCAGTAGTTTCACTATAAAATTAAATATGTAAATGGCATACTTGTTTATGGTTTCTGATCTGAGAAGATTCATTGGGAGAGACTTGTGAAATAACAGGTCAATGGAAAAATGCTCCAAGGAGAAATTATAACTTCCTTAGATCACAAATAGTCCAAGGTTATGATTAGCAATGTGCAAGCAGGTGACCCAAAGTCAAGACTTTGAAACCCATACAAAAAGGGGAGTGCCTGAGGGGCTCAGTTGGTTAAGTGTCCCAACTCTTGATTTTGGCTCAGGTTTTGATCTCATGGTTTGTGGATGCATGCCTCCTGCTGGGCTACGCACTGAGAGTGCATAGCCTGCTTGAGATTCTCTCCCTCTTCCTCTCCCTCTCTCTCTGCCCCTCTCTTGCTCCTGTGCTCTCTCTCCCTCTCTCAAAATAAACAAACTTAAAAAACTACAAAAAGGATCACAGCCGCTGTCGTCTCTGAGGTCCACTTTCCAACTTCTGTCTTAGGCTGTTTCTATTCAACTACTGAATGCTTTTATGGGTTAAATATGTCCCCCAACAAAGTAGGTTGAAGTCGAAGGCCTTGGTCTCAGTGGAATGTGATCTAATTTGGAAATAGGGTCTTCTTTGCAAATGTAATCAAGTTAAGATGAGATCATATTTAATTAGGGTGGGGCCTAACCCAATATGACTGGTGCCCTTACAAGGAGAGTGACACAAACAAATAATCAGGGAGAATTCCAAGTGACTACAGAAGCAGAGACTGAAACGCTGAGGATTACTGGCAACACTAGAGCTGAGAGTAAGGCATGGAACAGATTCTTCCCTAGAACCTTAAGAGAGAACACTGTCCTAGTAACACCTTGATTTGGAACTGTTAGCCTCCAGAATGATGAGAAAGTAAATCCCATTGTTTTAAGCCAAAATTTGTGATATTTTGTTATAGTGGCACCAAGAAGCTAATACAAATGCATATAAAAATCATCTTTATTTTTAAACCTTAAAAATTTTAAATAGAGATACTTAAGAAATTTTAAAAAAATAATTTACCATCCAGAAATGATTTCAAGCACTTTTTTTTCTAGCTTATGTGATGATATAAAACTAGGTCTCTGACACACTTTAAGGTTGAACAAATTTATTAAAGAACATTTGATAGTCTTTCAAATATTGACAAAAAAGCTTGATCAACCTTTTTTTGGGGAGGGGATAACTGACTTTATATGTCAAAATACCTACCTAGAGAATATGAGAAAATGCTTCATTAAAGAGTATTTC